TAGATAAAGAGTAAAAAAGAGAGACATAAAGAATAAGTGAATGGGGGAAAGAATATATGTAGAGAGAAGGAGAGAGAGAGAGGGTATTATTTATGTGAGTGGGATAGGGGGGTTCCTGTGAGTTAGTGTTGGTGTGCAAGTGAGGGAGGTCTGATAGTATGATTGAGATGTGAGGGAACCCTGTGGGAGAGTTTATACTTATACTTCATGTGTGGGGGTTCCAGTAAAGGATTTTATACTGTGTGAGGGTTCCTGAGAAGGACTCTATGCTGTGTGTGAGGACCTTAATTTGTTGTTTTGGGATCCTTGAAAGTAAGACAGTTGTCTTGTTCTCATCTGCAGGTGCAGTAAGCCAAGTTCCGCTATATGCATCTGGCCCGCTGTCTATCAGTAGTGGGTCCAGTGGGCTCAACCAACAGCAGCAACAACACAGTGGGATGCCCACCGTTGTCCCCTCGCCACGCCCCAGTCTCACATCGTCCCCCGCCCCCACACCCCCCTCTGGCGGCGATGAGGCCCAGCAACGGCTAGACCGCGTCAAGGACTACGTGCGAGAACAGGCCCCGCCTCCTCCTTCATCCCCCCAGGCTACACCGGGCTCGAAGCCCAAACCCCGCAGCGCTTACACGTGGACCAATCCCAAACTAAAGCAACAGCCACAAGGGGGTGCAGCGACCCCCGACTATGGAGCCACTGCGTGGTCGCACAACGTAGATGCCCCCACCTCACCCGGCCTTAACGGTGGGCCGCCGGGCATGCGCGCCATCACAGGAAATCACAGTGGCCAGCAGGTGGGGTCACCGCCATTCGACACCACCGCCTTGCCCATCATGGCCGACTCGGAGTGCGGCCATCTGCCGAGTCTGCCCCGGTTCTGGGAGTATGCTGTGCAGGAGTTTCATGAGGTCTTTGTGTTGCATGCGGAGAGTCCTTCTTCTTTTGTGGTAGGACTACATGTCTGTGTCAGTCTGTTTGTTAGCCTATCCAACTGTGTTTGTTAGCCTATCCAACTGTGTTTGTTAGCCTATCCAACTGTGTCTCTCTCTTTTTCTCTCTCTATCTTACTGTTACTCTCTCTTTCTGTCTCAGTCTGTATGTCTCTCTCTGTCTCTCTCTCTCTCTCTCTCTCTCTCTCTCTCTCTCTCTCTCTCTCTCTCTCCCTCTCTCTCTCTCTCTCCCTCCCTCTCCCTCTCTCACTCTGTACACAGTGAAGGGTTAAATATATAGTATTATCAATTGTTAGCAAACAGCGGTAATGATTTGTTATTAGCGAAGTGTAAACAGAAATGGGTTAAATAATCAATTGTTGGCAAAGAGAGTAGACTGCCATAAGCTGACAAAACGCCTTTTTTCATTTTGGTGCCAACATTTTTTATTTGCTAAATCGAAAGCCTGATCAGTTGCCCTACTTGCGTGAAAAAAACCGAAGTGAAACTGACTAGCTTTTGAATAAACTAGAATTCCAATTTCGGAATTGATCTATTTTTAAATGGTCCCGCTGACACAAAAACCTATTTTTCTCGAAACTGCTGTGAAGAAAAAAAGACATTTTGTTAGCTTACGGCAGTAGACAGAAAAGATTTAAATAATTTATTGTTTGTAAAGTGTAGACAGAACTGGGTTAAATACATTTTTGGCCATTAGTGTGAACTGGAAAAGGTTAGATATTACCATATTGTTGCAGTGATGAAGAAGATTTGGACTTAAATGACTCTTCTAACCATGTCCCCAGACTGTGCCGTCAGAAGTCAGGAAGGCCTTGGTCAACATGCAGGCGGAGATGGAGGCTTACTTCAACTCTACCCCGAGCCATGTAAGTGTCCTTTGTGTTCTCTTGTGGGTCTACTGGAGAGACAGAGAGAGGGGATTTGTATTATATAAGAGAGAGAAATGAGAGAGGAAGAGTTGGAGAATTGAGTGAGAGGGCCATGGAGGATAAAAGAGTCGGTGAGAAAGGAGGAGGGAGAGAGGGGGATAAAAGAATGAGTGTGAGAGAAAAACAGAGGGATTGAGAGAGACAGAATGAATGAAAAAGAGAGAGGGATATAATATCGGGAGTGAGAGAGAGAGCAAGAGAGAGAGACAGTAAGAGAGAAAGAAAGAGATGTAGATAAAGAGTAAAAAAGAGAGACATAAAGAATTAGTGAATGGGGGAAAGAATATATGTAGAGAGAAGGAGAGAGAGAGAATGTATTTTCTGAAAGCTAAAGGAATAGAGGAAATTAAAGAGAGATATAAATGAGAAAGAGGAAGAGAGATTCTCTGGCTTATGTATATAGACAGAAAAGGGAAGTTATAAAAGTGAAGAAAGAAGAGGCAGAGATGTGTCCAGAGATGAAGATGAAGCAGACAAGGGGGGAGGGCGGGGGGGGGGATGTTGTGAAGGCTAAAGAAAGAAAAGAAGATAGACAGAAATAAGAAAATGGAGAAATAAGCAGCATTATAGTAAGAGTGTTCAAAAGGACAAGAATGTCGAGTGAGAAAGATTAATGCAGGTGCTGTGTCCTTCACATACATACAAGCATGCTCTCTCATTTACACACACGTGGTCTCCCAATCTCTCCCACCAGCCCTTGACCCGTCTGTCCCACAAGTGTCTGTACGCTGTCAGAAAGGACTCAATGTGGCACAGAGCGGTCTTCCGGAAGCAGCTCAATCCAGGAGGGGTAAGTTTTTTTTTCTATAGCCTCATCTGCTCTATTTCTCCGTCTGTCTGTCTGTCTGTCTGTCTCCCCCTCCTCCTCCCCTCTCTCTCTCTCTCTCTCTCTCTCTCTCTCTCTCTCTCTCTCTCTCTCTCTCTCTCTCTCTCTCTCTCTCTCTCTCTCTCTCGCTCTCTCTCTCTCTTCCACCTTTCCTCGTGCCAAAATCTCTGCAGGCCTCCTCTGCCTCGATGCAGCTCTTCCCTCTACCCCGCTGTAATCCAAACTGCAAGGTCTGTCTCACACTTACTCACTCTCTCTGCTTTTCACACTGGCGCCAAACTAACCAATAGGCTAGGCCTAACCTCCTGTTATTGACCAACACGTCAGATTGCCCAATCGACAGCCAAATAGACCACATTTATCTCTCCTCACCTGTCTTTTACCAGTCTTGTCTGAAAAGCAGCTTAAAGGTTATTCACTAAAAAGTACCTTAAGAACAGCTGGTGGTCTGTGTAGAAATGTATTTAAAAACAACTGCGCTGTGAAATGGAAGATCTTGCAGTCAGTTATAATCAATCTGCCGCCCCTGTGAATTGGGGCGGTTGAAGGGTGTGACTGGTAGGTCCTTCTTCTTTACTTTCCCTCTGTTTCTTCTATTTCTCTGTTTGTCGTTCTTTTTTATGTATTGACTGGGAATTATGGTGTCTGTGTACTTCTCTTTGTGCTTACACTTTCTTCACAGAGGGTGTGTGGTTGGAATTTAAAAAAAACCTATTTATCCATAGTCTCTTTTTGTCTGTCTGTCTGTCTGTCTTTTCCCATGCAATGAATAGCCGTTTTACACCCATTGTCTCTTTTTTATCTGTTTTCTGTCTGTCTGTCTTTTCCAATGCAATGAATGGCCTTTTTACATCCATTTTTTTCTTTTTGTCTGTCTGTCTTGTGTCTTTTCCCATGCAATGAATGGCTGTTTTTACAATAGTTATAATAAATTTATTTACATCAATGTGCCACTCTTTCCTCCCCCTCCTCCTCCCTTCAGATCCAGGTGTACTACCCTGACCACGGCATGTACGACATTGTCCAGTCCCCACTTCTGTTTGAGCTGCCGGCACAGTTCTACGCCCTGCCCTTCCTGGCTCACCAGATGATTCTCGGAGGTATGCGATAGAGAGAAAAGTCTTCATAGGAATAATTTACTCTTTAGATGAATAGCCTACTGTTGTCCTAGCAGCTTGCATGATAGAGAGAAAAGTCTTATGAGGACTAGCTAAAACCTGTCCTGTTCATCTTCAAGATAGATAGAGAGAAAATTCTTCACAGGAATTACTTAGTCTTTAGAGGAATAGCTTACTGTTGTCCTAACAGCTTGCGTGATAGAGAGAAAAGTCTTTGAGGAATAGCTTACAATTTTCCCATACACATACAAGATAGAGAGAAAAGTCCTAAGAAGAGGGGTAGCTTACGATTGTCCTGTATATGTACAAGATAGAGAGAATAGTCTGTAGAGGAATAGCTGGCAGTGGTCCTGTACGCATAAAAAAGTTGAAAAAGTTTTTAGAGTAGTAGCTTACTCCTGTACACGTAAAAGATAAAGAGAGAGAATCTTGGAGTGGGAACTTGCTTTAGTCCCATTTACTTTTTCTTGTGTGTGCTCAGCGAGTGCTGGCATACAATTTGTTATGAAGGTGTGTGCTGTGAATTGTGCTCAGCGAGCGTTGTGTTGTGTCACGGCGCCGTGGAGTCATGGGCTCATCAATTTTTGGGCATATAGAGTGATTAGTAATATCATAATAATAATAATAAATAGCATTTGTATAGCGCATATCCTCGCTCAACAGCAGGCTCTATGCGCTTTACACTATATTATTACCCCAGCAGACAATAGAACACTCCGAAACATTCTCAGCTTAAAGCTTGTTCATTTGTCTTGCGTTTAACGGAAAAAAACAACCAAATCCCTTCTATCTTGAATTGAAGTCGAACATATTGGCGATTGAAGGTGGTGGGGTTGTCTGGTATGAGAGATCAAATTGGCTAGAAGGTGGCCGCCAAAGTTTGGTGACTTCCAAAGGTTGAGAGTCCTTGGAAACTGCAAATTTACACTTTTTTGTGCATATAGTGAACGTTTTTTTGGTAACATCTGCTCAGAGATGCATTTTTAAAAGGATATTAACGATGTTGAGCCAAAAATAGAAAGTGTGAAAAAAATTACCCAGCTCCCAGAAAAATGCTGTTTTCTTTGATTTCATTGTTCTGACAAGCGCCTGATTACTCCACGGTGCCTCACATGTATTTTTAATCATGCTGAATGAGTGTTAATTAATTTGTTATGGACTTTTGTGTGTTTTAATCAGTATCTGTGTGAGTATCTTTTACTTTTGTACAGTCTTAGAGTACGGTAGTAGCTTTTGTGTGTCTAGTAAACATTTCTATGGGTGGTTGGAGAGTGCTCTGGTGTGGTTTGCTCCTTCCTTCCAATCAAATATCTATAATCATTATCTCTCTTTCTGTTTTGTGTTTATTACTTTCTTGAAATTTCTCTTATATTTGGCACTTATGTGACTTAAATTGTGTTGCAGATGCCGTAAAACTCTTACTGAAAGTAAAACTAGACTTTCTCTCTGTTTTTCTGTCTGCCTGTCTGTCTTGTGCGTTTTCCTTTGCTCTAAAAATACCCATCATTGTATCCATGTGCTTTTCTTTGTTCTAACTTTTGTATCTCTTCTCTTGTGGGTGGTTGGCGGGTGCTGTGGTGTGGTTTGATCCTTCTTTCCTCTCAAACATCTATCATCCTTATCTCTCCTTTGTGGTTTGTTTTTCTGTTGCTGTCTAGCAAAACTTCCAAATCTTCAGTGTTATGTGACCTGTTTGTGTTGCAAGTCCTGTAAATCTCTTACTTAAACCAAACCAAACTTTCTTCTCTTGTAGTCCTTCCAGATTGGTACCCGGTCTGGAAAAGTAAGGGATGACTCAGCATTTTTCTTCCTCTGTTCATCTTACTATATAACCTTCCTTGTTTTATTCCCCAGTGGAAAAATGTTCTTTGCTTTTCTTGCATGTTGTTTTGTTTCATTAATTCTAGCCTGGGTCTGAGGTCATTTTCATGTCTGCTTTTGTGGGGAGCTTTTTTGTTTGAGATTGTGGGTGGTTGGCGGGTGCTCTGGTGTGGTTTGCTCCTTCTTTCCTATCAAACAACTTTCGTCTTTATCTCTCCTCCTTTTTTATGTTTGTTACTGTCTTGTAACTCCTCTAATCTTAGGCACTTATATGACCGTATTGTGTTGCAAGTGCCGTAAAACTCTTACTAAAACTTGTTTGGAAATTGGGGGGGGTTGATCTTTGTAAACAAATTTTGGAGGAAAGGGGCAAAATAAGTGGATTTTATATAGAGGCATCTGAGAAATACATGAATGACTGGATGTGCCTGCCAATATTTCTCCAGTGTCTGTGTGGGTGGTTGGCGGGTGCTCAGGTGTGGTTTGTTCCTTCTTTCCTGTCAAACACCTATCGTTCTTATCTCTTGTCTTTTATTTGTATGTTACTATAACTATAATCTAGTAACATCTCTAATCTCCGGCACTTGTACGAACTTGTGTTGCATGTGCTGTAAAACTTTTACTAAAGCTAAACTATAATCATTGTCCATGAGGGGAGTTCTCATGCTGCCTCTTGTTTTAGTTTAGTCTCTCTGTCTTTCCATGGCCAAATTGAAGATCGGCACATTCCCTGGGGTCACACAGTTCATATTTTTTGCACCATGTTCTTTTGCTACTAACCCCATACTGCTTATACTGTTATAATGATTTTATAATTTGTTGTTCAGATGTACTAAGCCCAAAAGTTTAAATATTCTGTCTTATTAGTTTTTATTTAACATTCACACACACACACATTTTATTTAACACCCACATACTCACACACACACACACGCACACACACCCACACACACACACACACACACACACACACACTCACACACACTCACACACACTATCACTCACCCACACACACACACATAGATAATCATTCCATAGTCACAAGAGTACAAGCCAAGGTCTCACACTACATATAGACCTGTCTCTCTCACATAGCACTGTCAGATCTTTGTGACTTTTGTGTCTTTAAGTGTATGCATTCTAGATTTACGTAAATTCAACTCAAAGCAAAATGTAATGGTACATCGCTTTACGGATAAAGATGGCCACTTTATAAAATTATTATGCCATTAAAAAAAATGATGCCATACTCAAGCCAGCTCAAATGCATATGTAGCGTTCGTGTTCAGTGGAATCAAACCAGCAAACTCACGTGTCTTTCTCTCCCATAACCAGCCATCGTCCCGAACACACAGGACTGGTCTGAGGCCTCCAAATTCTTCTTCATCTCGCGCGTCCTGAACAAGAACATCTTTGCCTTCATCAGGCGGGATTTGAGCCTCATCTCGGAGCAGGACAAAGCTGGCGCACCCAGCACTGACAACACACCCACCACCCCAGCTGCAACCGACGGGGAGTTGAGCATTCCAAAGCCTATTACAGTAAGTTCCTCAGTACTTATTTCAAGCCAGTTACAGAATGCTGTGAAATACAGTCAAAATTGTCCAAGACATCCTCCCATTGTCAGATAGGAAAATGATTGTCTCAGATAGGTGGACATTTTGCATAATGTCATTATAATATTGAAAAAACCCACAAGGATGGAAGTGGTTGTTTGTACAAGTGATTGTCTTTGACAGATGTCAGGTACAGTATGTTTTTAGACTAGTTTAGTTTTAGTAGAGGTTTTTTTGCGCTTGCAACTGCATAAGGTCATATGAATGCCAGAAGATTAGAGGTGTTACAAGAGAGTAACAAACATAACAAAAGAAGAAGGAAAGATAAGGACGATACAGTATATTTAGTTTGTTTTAAAATTTTGTTTCGTTTTCTGTAGCTTTATCTTGACTGATGTGATCCTCTGTCTGTCACAGGTTCAGCTGGTGGACACCACTGGAGAGGAAGACGAGGTCATCGACGACCTGATGTGTCAGAGTGGCTATGCCCGACGTCCTGGTGACCCGCCCGTTGTACAGAACTGAGCACAGGGCACTGCTGTGTGCTCATAAACAGGGCACTGCTGTGTGCTCATAAAACAGGGCACTCCTGTGTGCTCATGAACAGGGCACTCCTGTGTGCTCATAAGCGTCTGTTTTTTTGACGCGCTAGGACTTTGTGTCTGGGCGATGTCCGTACTGTGGTGTTGTGGGTGGTGGAGGTTCTGTGCTGAACAAACTTGGAGTGCATCGTTGTCGTGCTCCCTATGCCTGTGATGAGTTGGACAAGTGGGAAGAATAATCGAATGCTGGTGCTGTCTTGATCTCGTCCAATCTTGATCGAGGCGCGAGTCGGACTCGATTTCACAAAAAAGACTCATCTCAAAGAATCAAAATGTTTTATGCAAGTTGCAGACTAATGGTTGCCCCATGGCAGTGTGATACATTTGTATAGCTTCTTAATATGTCTTAATGTTGACTTGATATCAATGGCTGGATGCAGGACTCTAACAACCGCCATTATGCCATTTGGCTTGAGTCTTGCACCCAGATATATGGATAATGTGTTTTATGATTGAGGGTGTGCGAATTTTCAGGAAGTCTCCTTAAACGTGATAGCCTGGTCAGAACTATTGCTCGGGGTGTATGGCAAGTTTGCCATCCATTGTGTCGGAGTTGTAACGGTTTTGTTTTTGCCTATGATCAATTGTACCGTTCTTAGGGGAGATATCCTCTCATGTTGACAAGGGGTCACCTGCCTATGGTCCCCGAGGTCAATTTGTCTGGCCCATTGCCGTATCACATTACTGTCAGTGGCACTGCCCCCGGGGGGGGGGGGGGAAATAACGAACAAACTTGGAAGATGTGTTTGTAGTGTGCTCGGAATTTGGGCACCAAAATAATTTGAGGATTTCTTTGAACTCCACTGTGCAAATTAAATGTGTTTTAGACTTCATTTCTTTTTATACCTATGTCACTCTCTTGCCCAGCGTTAACTCATTTGCAGACGCAGGGTTACGGACAGTTGCTTTTGCCGGTGACGCTTGAATTTTAGCCTTTTTTTTTTTTAAGGGGTTGTAAAAATATTAGTTTTAGAGATAGTACAAAAAGTGATTTTGTTTTATGGTCCTCCAGTATGTTCTGGAGATATCCTCTCAGTGTAGACCAGGGGTCACGAAACTACGGTCAGTTTTAGGTCAGTTTGTCTGGCCCGCCACCATGCTGGAAAAAACTTTTAATTAAAACAAACTTGGAGGATGTTGTGTTTGGAGTGTGCTCGGAATTTGGTCACCAAAATAATTTGATGATTTCTTTGAACTCCACAGTGCAAACCAAGTGCTTTTAAAGACTTCTTCTTATCTTTTAGTTTATATATTACACTCTTTCACAGCTTTAACTCTGTTGCTGATGCATGGTTATGGACAGCTGCTTTTGCTGGTAGCACATGAATTAAAAATTTTTTAGGGGACCCAAAAAAAAAGTTTTAGAGAAAAGGAAAAAAACTGATTTTGTGTTATAGAAACTAGAACAAGAGAATCTTTTAAGTGGTAGCATCCTTTTGCTTTAAAAAACCCCCCAATAGTTTTGATACAGTTTATTGAAGCAAAATTGGTCCAGCAGATAACCCCAAAAATATTTTTCTCCAGGCAGAACAAAACATTCAAGTGCAGACAAGAGAAAAGTTATATGATAATTTAAAAGAAGGCCTATATATACACAAAAATGTACTCGTGTTATAGCAGAGAAATAACATTATTGAATGGTGGCAAGTGCAAGGCAAAGTTCCGTTATAAAACCTACTTTGTTTTAGGGGCTCCTGCCAGCTGCTCTTAGCTTTATTGTGTAGAATTGAGGCCTAAACCATACAGTGTTGGAGGAGGTGTAGGGCTACTTTTTTCCTCCACTTGATGGTTTTGCGATGAAGGGGTGTGTAAGAATTGAGCTGATTTTTTTGGTGAGAATCTGCATCACTTTTACCTCGCTGTTTCAGAGCCAGAACTTGATTCCAACGTCTGAAATTCATCTGTCTGGGTTGCAGATTCGTACCCATGAGGTCTCTCAAAAGTCCAGTGCGGCTTCTGACTGTCCCCCACAACCATTGTACTGTTGGCCATCAGTGTGTCACACGGCAAGGGGTTGCAGTAGTAGTTATCTATGAATAGACAATAGCCCTCATTGAGGAGGGGTTGTATGAGACGATTTATAATGTTGAAGGGCGTGTTGCTGACCTCTGACTGTCAATACGTTGGTTTCAAACACCCAGATATAGCCACTGTTGCGCTCATAGAGTTTGCTGTAGAGTTTAACATTCCACTTTGTAGAGGTGTCCTTCATACAGACTCATGTGAGAGCGCTTTCAGCATGGACACAAATCCTGATCCATGGATATGTTCAGTTCCAAGACGTAGGTGATCTTGAATGACTGAAGATAAATATAAAACTAGTAAGAAACTGACACATAATATAAATTTAATGAATAATTCCTGGTACTTGATTAGAGATACACATCAAGACAAAAGAAATACCATATAATAATACTTTTGATCTTGATGAAAGAATGTACCATTTTTCTCTTGAAATTATCCATTTTTTTACAGCATACCTTATTCATTCCATATTCTTGACAGTGATCAATCTATTTTTTTTTTTCAGTTTCAGAACCAGACGGGTTTTTGGGGGTTTTTTTTGGTAGGCAAAGTCTTTTTTATTTTATCTTGATAACAAACGATGAATGTGAAAAAAAGGGCAAAAGAGAAGTTGAAAAGAATAAGAAAGAAAAAGAGGAAAAACTGTTGAAGAGTGGCCTTATCTTGTGTAGGAGATCATGAACTGGTTGCCCTTTCTGCACATATGTGTCGTCATTCAAATTATATGGAAGGACAGTATAGCAGTCCTGCCTCATCAGCTGCCCTACACATTACAAGTGCAAACAAGGGCTGGTCAACCGATAATCTGAAATAGAAGGCTTTTGTCTATTTTCTAGGCCGATATGGACAAGTGTAAAACAGGCTGTAGGACAAATTATGTGTCTGATGCATCTGCAATGAGTTAATGTGACAAGATTTTCATATCATACATCTCTCTCTCTCTTTTTCTTTCTCTCTCTCTCTCTTTCTCTCTCGTATTTGTATGAAGCAATCACCTGAATCAAACACAAGATTAACTAAAGTGTCATGAATTCTAACCTGTTTTTGGTTGACTTCTTTCTGACGCTGTTGAGATGAGATTGACTAGTCTTGAAAGGAAACTGTTAAATGTGTGGTGGAGCATGAAGTGTTTTATGTTGTTCTTTCATTGTCAGTAAAGTAAAGTAACCCTCCAGTGTTGTGCTGTGTTTCCTGGTGCAAAACACGTCTCCTCAATAAGCCTGCAGCGAGGGCTGTTGGCAGGTGCTCTTGTGTCGTTTGCTCTTTCTTTCCTATCAAACATCTATCCTCCTTATCCGTCCTCATTCTTGTCTTTGTATATATTGCTCTCTAGTAACAAACACCTAATCTCTCTTCCCCCCCCCCCCCCCCCACAGTAGAATTGTAAATGGGCCGATTCATCATGTCACGCTCATAACTGTGCCTGATCTACAACAGGGAACTGCTGCTTTTTCTTTTCTAATCCTTACTATTGTCATTTTCCTCTACTTCTTTTGTATGTTTGTCACTCTTGTGACCTGCTATTTCCGTGGTGCCTTGATAGTCGAAGCAGACTTTGTGCTGTTGAAGCTAGAGAGGTGAGCAGAGTAAGTCTGCGGGTGGTTGGCGGGTGCTCTGGTGAGGTCTGCTTCTTCTTTCCTATCAAACATCTATCGTCCTTATCTCCCCTTCTTCTTTTTTATGTTTGTTACTCTCTTGTAACACCTCTAATCTTCTGGCGCTCCTATGACCTTATGCAGTTGCGAGCGCCGTAAAACCTCTACTAAAACAAACAAACAAGAGTAAGTCTGATTCCCTGTAAAGACTTCTCTGTTGACACCCACCCCTTGGTGCTCATATGGCCTTATGCAGTTGCGAACGCCGTAAAACCCTCTACTAGACTAAAAAAACACCTAATCTTTGGCTTTTATATGATTATATGACTTTTTTTTTGTGAATGCCGTAAAACTCGTACTAAAAACTCAAACTGAAACAAGACTGCAGCAATGACAAGGCCCCCTTGTGTTGTCTACAGTGTACTCTATATGTGGGACGTCGTTGTCGTCCATTTGCCATGCGCTTTCATTTGTCAAACTGGACCTGATTGGTCAATGGTCTGAGCTACCGGTCAATGTCACAAGCAAATCGCATAATGAACTAGTGTCCAGTTGTTTTGGGGTTCTTTTTTAAAATATATTTTTGTTTAAAATTTAATTTTATTGGAGATGCGAACAGGATATTTGAAAATGGCAGACGTGGGGTTGATGGGTTTAGTCTTGGATTGAAATGGTTACAGTGAGGTTAACAGGTTTTATTAGCACTGGTGGTGACAATGCTTGTCAATTTCTCAGTACACTTTTTTAGGGAGTAGCCCATTCTATGTGGAGTCTGCTATCATTGTCTGAAGTCTAAAGTTTGAAAAGCTGGAACACAGTGCTCAGCCGTTATTGTTTTTTTTTTTTAAGTTCAAACTGGTGTTTTTCATTTTGCCCTTTTTGCTACTGACATTGACTTATATTGTTTGTTGTAAGTAATTACTGCTCAATTCTATGGATTCCCCACTGTCTGATTCAGAATTTGGTCATAGTCAAAGCAATTTATTCCTTCGTTTTATGTTTTGTTGTAGTCAGTATAATCGTATAGCAGTTTTTTAATTTGTTTGTTTTGTTTTAAAATAAGTAAGATGAAGGTTTGCCTAATAATGTGGTGGTGTCTGTGGTGTGGTAGTTATAGGCTTTTAACCTTTGCATTCTGAAGACATCAGTTCGATTCCCTCTTAGGAAGTCCTTTTTATTGAGTATTATGGGATCCATCTCTGTGCTTGGATATTGTATGCCTCACAGTCTGAGTTAGCTCTGGTTGACAGAGTCGAAGCTGCCAACCTCCTATCTAAATTGCTTCAATGGGGATGTAAAATATTCACCTTCTAATGTTGAGATGTGGTTTGACCAGTGAGTGTTTCTTTATTAACAGAGAGATATTATATATATATGTGTTAGCGTTAATATAGCACATAGCTTTGCCATTTATACTTCCAGTGTTTTATGATTGAGGAGCTTTGCCTGGATGCAGCTATATTATAGTCAGTGGGCAGTTTTTAATAGTTTGTATTTGGGTTTTTATTTCGGGAGTGTCGATGGTAATTCTAATTATTTGAATATGTTTCACCCCTCATTGTGACCACGTTTCCTCCTTTCGAGCAAAATGGTTGTAGTTTTTAAGAGGCATTTAGAAAATGTTTTTTGTAGCCTTGCCTCATTTCTCCTCTGCAGGATAATGAATTGTGAAGGTGTATTCAAAAATAGTTGTTGTCTTTTTAGTCTTTAAATAAATATTTTTTCGATTGATGTTAATCTTAAGGTCATTGTGACTCTTACCTAAACATTTCTCTGAGCATGTGGTTTTATTGACAAATGAACAAAATGTATGTTTGAAGGTGATGACATGAGAACTCTTCTCAGAGACTATTTGAAATATCTAAATCATGTTGTTTTTATAAAAGTTTTGGCAGTTATCACTAAATTGTAATAACTGTTTTAATCTTGTGTATCTGGTTTGATCCCTAGATCACCCCTAGATGTGAAATTATTTCTTTGAAAAAGTGTTAACTTCTTCTGAGTAGAAAACTGTTTAATACTAATGTTTGAAAAGCGAAATTATGTAGGTTAAACATCTGT